CCCCCTTTTTTTCGTTTTCCACAGGGAAAGGGAAAAGGGAAATGGGGGTTTTTTTTTTTTTTTCCCTCCCCAAACTTTTCCCCCGCGGGGAAATTTTTTTTTTTTATAAAAAGGGGAAAAAAAAAAAAAAAAGAAGGAAAGGGGGGAAACCCCCCCCCCAAAAAGGGGGGGGAAAACCCCCCCCCCCCCCCCCCCCCCCCCCCCCGACCTCTCGCACCTCTTCTTCCCACTTCTGGCGCCTCTCTCGCCGAGCGGCCACCTCGAAGCGCCACCTGTTCGCGTAGGCAGAGTGAAGCTTGTCAACCGCCCAGCGCCTGTTGGCCACCTCCTGTCGCGCCCTCGCCGTCTCCACTCGCGCCGCAGCCACTCGCCGCTGCCAGCGCTGGATGACCATGGCCGCCGCTGCGGCTGTCCTCTTGGGGTTCTTGTTCCCCCTGTTGTTGGCGACGGTAATGTGTACCATATGTTGGTTCGGTTTTATTGCCGGGACAGATGAGAGTTTTCAAGGAAGGAGGTGAGAGGAGGGGACGAGCGAAGGCGAGCTCGAGACAGCGCATGAACGAACTGCTGTATCGGTGGGCCCAAGCAACGGGTACCATACACAAACACGCTTCGTGGGAAGGGAATGCGTAACCTCTCTCTTGCCCCCTTCTTGTACGTACCATGGTACCGAATTGTCGCTATTGACAGGGTCACGCGGTGACATCACACAGAGTAAGTACATTCGAAGCAACCCCTTTCCCCTCTTCCTCCCGCCTGCTCGTTCACCTGTCCGGCATGCCGAACGAAATGCCCGAAAACACGCGGTCGAACCAGCTGGGTGACCCCTGCGGCTCTTCGCCGTCGTACGCTGGAGTTATCGACCCTCCACCAAACGAGTGGTCTTGTCCTCCCTCACCCGCCGGCGAATCCTCTGACATGCGGATGGATGACGCCGCCGACGTGCGAGGGCTGATCCCCTGCATCACCTGCTCGTAGGGCAACAAAAGCGGCGATGGGGGTGGGGGGGTGGGGGTGTTGCTACTGGCTCATTGTAACATTGACTAGACGTAATCGACCGAGACTAACCGCACTCTTCCTGTTCCTATAGTACTTGTACCAAAGTCGTCTCTCAAGTCGGAGAGATGAAAAAGATCACAATCAACAAGTGCTGCTGCACTGCTGTCCGTGGCAGCACCGCCGAGCGGTCGTCCACACTTATTCATTTGTACCTTCTACCTTCGTACAGCACCACGCGATCGATCCGGCAAAGAAAGCCCAACCCGAAAATGGCACACACTTGAGTTCTTTAGCATCATTGCAAGCTGGTCATAGGGCGTTGAATCAAGCTCACTCAGTACAGCACAAACCGGTGTACAGAATACGGTCTGTAGCCAAAAGCCCCCGTGTGTTGTTCTTACCTTGCTTCCCTTGAGGTTGGATCCATATGAGCCCTTCCAGAAGAACGCACAGAAGGGAAGGCGAAGGAGAAGGATAAGGATAAGGAGTAGACAGGGCGAAACAAAAAATCTAGTCAACGTACGGCCGGGCGAGAACTCAACAGAAATTGAAAAGCGAGCCGCTCACTGAACGCGCTCGTTATACCGCATGGCACCCTTGACGATCAAGAGTCGACATGAAGACAAGGCGACTATGGTATCAACCACGGCACAACGTGTACAAGCAAGCCACCCACGAAAGCAATAGGAAGCGCCACAAACTGATGCACGGGATTCCGTTTTTGATACAGAGCAACTATCACAATCACACGCTTTGAACCGTCGCACAGCTTACGTCCAACACGCCTCGAGTTGTCAACAGCACACTGGACGACAACGCCCAGCCCTTGGCGCCCTATATCCTCCACAACCCATTTATCCCGTTCCAACCTCAACAACAATGAAGTGCGTACCCGGCGCCGTTGTTCCGCCAACAACAGGGGCAGGCCCCGAGACTCCAGCGCCTCGGAGACAGCCTGCCTGGTAGCCACTCCTCTCGCCAACGCCTGCATCGATCTCGCCGCGGCCGTTTCCTTCTCTCGCTGAAGAGCCGCAGCTTCCCGCTTGCGCTTGGCAGCCTGTCGGGCAGCTTTTGCCTCTGCTTGGTCCGCCAGACGCTTCGCCGCGAGGAACCTGGGTGATGCATCAACCCGATCCAAACAAACATTTAGAAAATATAACAGCTGCCACAAACTGAAAAAGACATCAAGCTACACTGCTGTCAAGTGCGCCGCAAGCACAATGTTGAACGAGCTGACGTTGAAAAAAGAGGAAGGACCGGCGCGAGGGAGGGCAGACAGGAGGAGTCTTCATCAACCGTGGGGGGGTATTTCAACACCGAAGCTCTCCTTCAAATAAACCTATCTCTGTACCAGACGTAACTCGGATTCCGGGGTCACGGTGGTTGTGGTTCATTCAAGAGATATTTCTCGACCGAGGTTTCGCTTCTATTGAGCGTGCTCACCTACCACTACTACATCAGAGCGTAACAACCGCCTGCGTGGTCAAAACGCCTCTCAACACACCTGCTGAGCCTCGAACGAACCCACGTTTCCTACCTAGACACGATCATGAAATGATAACGCCAGGGCAAACGACGGGCGTTCCTAACCTAAAATTCTTACACATTGAAAAAAATAAAAAAAACTCGACTGCGCTCCCACCCCCCCACGAAGACAGCGCACCCGAGTCCAGGCAGACACAAACAGCAGTTACCTGCGATTCGCCGCGATCGCTCTCCCCTCGCCCCCTCTCCACAACGCCTGTAGAGCAGTCGCCGCTCGCAGTCGATTGCGGGCCGTCATCCACCTTCGGCACGCGCGTGTAAGCGTCTGAGCAGACCGCCGCCGCTCCTCCAACACTGGGTTGGTGCGCCGCATGACGCTCACCATGCGGAACCACGCCTGGTACGGAAGGCCAATCACCGGAAGGAGTTTTGGGGGTGCGGGGGACGAGCAGACAGGCGTGAGCTACATGCAGGCGACGTTAACAGGGCAGACGAAGTGCATGCAGCTACTACTTCCACATGATTCTTGATTCCCTTTCAGGCGACTTTCAACCATCAGCACGTTCACTCAGCCGTATTCGATACAACCGACCCGACACTAAATACTGCACCAGGCTACAGTATCTATCTTATCACCGCCGCCGCAAACCCAACCACAACCCCCAACAACCAACACCCGGCCTCAACTGACCTGCATGGTAACGGAAGCGTCCAGGTGGAGGCTCTCCCGGTGGATGCGAGGCCGCCTGTTGAGCAGCTGGGCCACGAACGCGATGTTGTACAGGTGGGCCTTGCCAGTGATGTGATTTGCGCGTATCAGGGGAGCCAGGCCGATCCCCTCTGCCCCGGAGATGACCAGGCACGCGCGGCGGAACTGCGCCCGCTTCGCGTCCTCTTCTTCGGTGGGATCCACCTCCTCGCCCTTGAACTTGTCGTTCAGCTCCTGTCACATCACGTCAAAATCACGCCACATCATAGAGCCTACCGTCAACAATCTATCTTACGGAGACGTGGTGGTGGTGGTTGCGGTGGCGAACTCGGTGCATCAAACTTATACGCTCTGGCAAAGCTTCCCTCGAACGAGCGATTGTGCTACGGCAGCGGTAGTTCTTGTACGCGTGTTGATCACAACAACACTGCACGGTACAGGGCTGACTCTAACGAGAAGAGCCCTTTCGTTCAACTGATCGCAAGAGAAACATACGGCAAGCATCATAGGACGGGGCGGGACCCAAGCAACAAAGTCCTACAGGGGCGTAGTCCGGTCAATCAAAGATGGAAAGATGACCATTTGACTAACCTTGATGAGAGTCACGTAGCATCTGCCGTCCGCTAGATCATCGCCGAAATTGGCTACACGCCGCTCGCTTCCCCCCCACCTGAAAAACATAGAAATAGAGACACCAAAACAAATGATGTCATCACAACAGGCCCAATAAAATCCACATGCAAGAGCGGCAATATCAAGAAACAACAGGAAAAACATCAGACCATACATCGCACACGTGTTGCGTATTTCTGTGACAAAACATTTCAGCCAGCACGCACATCGAGCAATGTGTCTCGTTTTTGCCCATGTTTACAACACGCCAAAACCAAATTTCTTGATGAAGACAGCAGTACACAGATACGAAGTATGAAATTTACACTAGTGCTGTGGCTATCGCTGATCTTACAATAAATACCAAACGGGCACAGGCACAACAGCAGTCCCCCCCCCATAGCGCTGTGCTCCATCCGTCAGGCTGCCGTGCAACAAAGAAGCATATTGCTGTCGTCAAGAGCATGGAATATTCATGCACTCTCTCTCAATAATCCTCTTCCCAGTGAGCAATAAAATATACAAGTTGTCGTCGTACCGGCTCTTGTTTCCCCTAAGACCGCCAAAACCTTACCGGAGGTGGTGGTTGAACCAGCGCAGCAGCACCTCCTCCACGGGGAGCTCGAAGAAAGCCTCCTTCGACTCGCCCCCCTCCATTAGATGAATTAAGTCAGGACAACCCTAACTCGTCATCAACACACGGCGCGCACACGACAAAGGGCACTTTTTAGTAGTGTTGACGTTGCTGCCAACCTAATCTGGGGGGAGGGGCACTCACTGCTGCCGCCTGCCTTGTTTCCAACACTCCGGAAGAACATTACTAGTAGGCGAGAGAAAGAGTGGGAGTCGGGGCATGTTTTTCAACCTCTGTCTTTTACATCAGGAAGGCTTGAATCGGGGGAAACTACCACCGCCGTTTCTCCCGACTGGAGGTTACACAATCTCGGACAAGCCTTGGTTGGGAAGCAAAAACAGCAACCCCAATCGGTGCTGCATGGATACCTTGAGGTTGATCTGTGCGAGGAGGTGGATCCGGATGAGCTGCCACGTGAGCCCTAGGATGCTCGCCGGCCGGCCTTGGATGATGTCCGTGGCCCCGATGTTGACGACTTGCAGTCCGTGTTTTTCCGCCGCTTCGAGGGCCACGTTCAGGTTCTCGTTGGCCTTGTACAGACTCAGGGGCTCGTCGTTCGTGGGTGTGTTGACGTTGGTGTCAGCTGCACAAGGGGCGGGCGGCATCATGGGAGGCAGGATAAAAGCGTCTTCATCATGTGACCTGACGATGCAACACACAGGCGTGCTGACCGGTCAACAGAAAGGTTTCAATGTCGGTGTATGCATAGGACGAGCGCATATTGGTAATTCGAGTCCGAAGGTGGGGCAGCCGATTTTGGAACAACTCATGAGGAGTTGTAGTACGAAACTTACTGGTCGCTGCGGAGGAAGGCCGGCGCAAAGACACGTGGTACACCGATCCCCCGCGAACTAGGAAGCGCTTAACGCTACGATATCAAGGACGAACTTCGTTGACCCGGCTTGGCCGGTCAACGCTATACATATACCGCTGAAAACAACAGACATACACACACTCTGGTCCGAAAAATAAGCACTGCTCGCTATATACCGCTGTAAACAACAGACATACACTCTGGTCCGCAAAAAAAGGACTACTGTTGGGACTCAAATGTAAATATCTTATCTTATGACACAGAATTTTGCCATGTGTTCCCCGTGACCTGGTGCGGCGAAACAGGCTGAAATGGTCACTTTGCCGCATCTATGAGCCTGGCACATCTCCCGCAAGTTAGGGCAAACGGGCCTCGCTCCACAGATGACCTCGCTGGCTGTAGGAGCAACCTTTTTGTTTCCAAAACAATTTTAATACGGGAATGTCGTTTTAACCCGCGAACGCAATGCAACCCCCCCCGTCGAAAACCGTTATTTTCTGTCAATTTACATCGCACCCGTTGCTCTCCCCAGCCAACTCATGGCGATGAGTTCTGCGGCAGCTGCTCTGCTGCGGCTGCTACTAGAAAACTGCTGCTGGGTTTTTCCTCCTGGGCCCTTGGGTGGGATGCAACCCCGTATCATTTCATTTTGGGTGGTGTAACATCAGCCTGTGGTGCCGAAACGGGAAACGGCTTATATTTTGGAATATCTTGACGGTCCTTATATTTCCGACAAGAGTGGTGACTGCGACGACCAGCCATGTACGTACAAGTACTACCCATGCTTGTTTACACCAAAAACAGCAACTCTTTGGGGCTGCAGAGCCTACGCTAAGTCGGGTACAACATAGGTGAACACCGTAGTCGGCCAGCTTCGTCTCTCCAGTCAACTGATAAGAAGTACTTCACAACCAAGTGAAGTACTCAAGTGTGGTCAGAAATTGCATAACCAACGACTCAGCAATTGAAGTCCGAAGCAAACAAAGCGTTTTGAGAACGCTGCCCAGATACGAGCGTGAAATCATTCGAGTCCTTCATACCCACCACACCCCATAAAACAGCACGTGTCCCTAAAACTAATTTGGTGGTGTGAGGGGGGAAGGAGCACGGCTATGTACGGGGATACGTGACAGCCAAGTAGTGTTCCATTTTTTATTTAGCCAATCGTTGCACCTATGGAGCCGGGAATGGCGAGGCAGACGATGCGGCACATGAGGACCCCGTCCTTGAAGCTGTCGAACAGGTCCGCGCCTCCCGGGTCGAGCGGCATCAGGTGGGTCAGGAACGGATCCCCCACCAAGTGAGCGTTGAGATGGCACGCAAAAACCGCCTGCGCCCACAATCGCAACAACCGACAGGTAACAACGTCTTTTTAAGGGAGGAGCACAGCAGGATCTAGAACGTACATGCACACGTTGTACTGAGCCGCGGAGCGAGAAGCGCGACCGTTATTTTCCCTCCGTTCCGGGAGAGAAAAAACAGGATCTATCTATACTATACCAGAAGCCCAAGTTTCAATGAACGACCGCCTGAATTTTGAATTTTCGATCCCCTTCGACCAGCACGAGGTCTACAGAGCACTGATTGGCGATTTGCTGGCTTGTGAGGAACCAGAAAAATGGGGCGCTCTTCGTCACTCTGTGCAGAGAAACCACCGAAAACCCAAATCGGTGGGGGAAGCTGTGTATGACGTCTACCGTTACCGTAAATGACATGACGTAATATACCACACCCCCTGTACCGATTGTTTAAGCTCGAGTACTCGACATCAAAGAGGATACATACACCCAGGGAGACGTTGTCGGAAAGCTCTCCACGAGACGGTTCCCAGATGACCGTTGTAGGCACCGCCACTCTTTGTGGTGTGGAGAAACCGATCTTTGAAATTGGTCCAGGGGGTGTGGTATCTTGTGTCACCTACGGTACTCTGTCTATATATGCACACGCCAACACGCCAACGGCCGTTCGTTCCAGGAAGGAGCCTTTTTTTTTTGTTGATGACTCGTCGGATTCAAAATTCAAAATGATCGACAAACCACCCGCACAAGAGCATCGCAAATACATACAGACTACTGCAAGATGTTGAGTCCGCTACCCCGCGGCTCATTACCCCACCCTATCTATTTTTAATAGCCTAAAGTTATCGCTATTATTGTGATCGCCACGATTAGATCGAGAGAGGCCGGATACAACAAAGCTATGCAAACGGCAAGTGCGGGGCAAGCAGGTGAAGGGGTCCGCACGTGTGTGCTCGGAAACGGTCGCCGTAACAAGTGAACCAAAATGAAATTGGGACCCGACCCGCTTCCCCATCCCCAGGCAAGCACGAGATCCATGCGTGGACTGAACAGATTCAACGACTCCTGAGAAAAAGAAAAGAAAAGCAGCTTTGGTTTTAACAGCGTTTATTTAATCTGTGTTCCACGGAGACGTAAACTTTTTCATCTCCGGATTCCCCTGCAACCTTGCTGCAACAGGCGGTTGACTCCTGCGAAATTCATATTGCTCCGGAGTACCACATCACAAGCTCAAAGCGTGAGGGCCAGCAAAATAATGCATCGCGCCCAGGCAAGCTGCCCAAAACCAACGAGACTATGTATGTGGGCTTCAAGCTTCCGTCACGCGACGTGGAAACGGACGTCACACGACGTGGATATTATGTACGGTGGTAGATGGTAATCGCCAGCACCAGGAAACAAAAATCAAAAATCGTAATCTTTGAGTGCTGCCCGAAATGAAGGGCACCTGCTTGTTGCAGTACACTGCTGTACAATTATCCTCGCCTTCCTATGTTACCTCTGCCCGACTCGTACCGGCAGCGAAGCGCGCAGACCCAGATCATGATAACCATGGCGGTTCGGGCACACATCAGGAGCGGCGTGCAACCCTGCCCTACCCTCTCTCGAAAGAGACCAGAGCACCACAGCGGCTACGAGCGCTCTCTCAGGGTCCGCCAAAGAAACAGTTCGCGCAATAAACGGAGCAGGAAATATATAAACGTGCAACACGGGGAGACGATCCACCCAACCTTTGTCAATTCCCCATATGCCCCCCCCGGCCTCTCTCAATGCGCAACAAGGATAACTCAACCTCAATCTAGCAACAGCCCCCCAACCCTATCGATAGAGAGTGAGAGTGTTGTTGGTGTTACAGTGCGCTCTCTTACCTTCTCCTCTGATGTGTAGGTGGTGATCGAGTCACCCTTGCCCCTCTTGGTGTCGAAGCTCCCGGACAAGGACTTCCTGTTGGAGATGATGTTTCTCAGGGCCGGCGAGGCCGTGACCGTGCTCAAGTCCTCCCCTTCCCCGTCGGTATCCGGCCCCAGGAGATCCGAGATGGATTGCCTGCGACTGGTCGGTGTAGGGGTGCACATGGGCGCGCTGCTGCTGTCGGCTCGCAGCGTCCCCAGGCGGAGCGTTCCAAGCCCCAAAGAGCCGCCGGCGCTCCCGCCCGGGGTGGAAACCTGCGACCGTTGGTCGGCAGCAGCAGACTTGGTGGGGGTTGGTTGCTGTGAGCCTACCTTCTTCTTCTTGGCCGAGCCATTCTTCTTCTTCCCCTTGGGCCACTTCATCCTGCTGGCTCCCAAAGCTGCGCCTCAAGAAAAATATCGTCTGCCCTTGTCCTCTCTGCTGTCGTGCTTCTTCGAAAGCACAACCCTGCCACAGCAGGCACCAACTTTTCTTGCTTATACACCCTCCACCGAAGCGGGGGGACTCGATCGGACAGAAGAGTCTCCTGCACGACCTGAGTCTCCCCTTGATCTACGGAGGAGAAGTCGGGGTGCTCTCTAGCAACCTCGCGCTCGGCAGGGCACAGGGGCGCGGGGGGGGGTCGTTCAAGTGGCGGCTGGGTTCATGAGAACAAACTTGGTTGAATTTGAGGCAAATCAGCGTGCGTGTGAGTGAGGCATCTCTGTTTGGCGTCGACATGCGGTAGAGAATGAAACCGTCGGTCGTATTTTTTTCTTTTTAAGGAACAATATTTTTCTTCTCGTATAGACGACGACCGTAGCTGTCGACGATAGTCTCCGTCTCTTTTCACAGACCGAGACACGCGCGAACGCAGGGAGCGAAAAGCTCGCTTTGATAATATGGCTCTCGTGGCCTCAGACGCACGGAGCGAATCATCCGGTGGGTCAGGGTCGGCGCGGTCTGGTGGATCAAGGAAGTACAGGGTTGTCTCTCGCGGCAGCAATGTCGACGAGTCACTCTTCGGGTCGAGCAACTCCAAAGGACGCAAGAAGAGCACAGGGAGGAAGATACTCGAGGGAGAAGTAAGTGAGGCTCCCCTTGTTGGCGTCTGCCCGCACACATAAATGCAGCAAACAGGAGCGTAGACTAGTAGACTATACATACATATGATACGCAAATAGATAGAGAACATGGTTCTTCATGGACATTTTGGTCAAACGGCGTCGGCTACAAGTACGCACGTACACTGCTGCTGGGGGGTTGGCTTTATCGTAGTGTACACGCGCCGCCTTGAGACATGGGGGGTTGGCTCCAAACAACCACCAAGTTCGAAATATGTGCGAGTGCAGAAAGCATCTGTATCTGTAGACTACATGCGCACACAACATGCAATACGACCGAAACGCCAAGAAAACACATTTAGAACTACATTGATTGGTACATGTTAGAATACACAGTTGAGTCATCCAAGGAACACCTGCCTGACCGGTTTTAAACAGTGCTCCAAATATGAAATAACCTATGTAGGAAACCTTTGGACCGTGAGTGATTTTCTGAGCAACAATCTCATCCAGCAACAGATGCGTGCGTGCTGGCACCTTGTACTACGAACTACAAGCATATGATTTTCTGAGCAACAATCTCATCCAGCAACAGATGCGTGCGTGCTGGCACCTTGTACTACGAACTACAGCAGTATGTGTTTCCAGGAAGAGGTGTGCGATTCCCACTATGTAAGCAAGAATACAATATTGCCGTTGACCCTTGGTCTCGCAAGGGGAGGTTCGACAACATTTTTCGCCTCTGTAGTGCTGTAGATGGTGTTTCCAGAAAGCTGAAATTTGGTAGCAATCGCGGAAACCACAACAGCACATCAGATCGGAACCATAGAAGATGGGAATACTCTTTGGAGAGTTCGGGATGGCGCGGTCGATGCTACCCTAAAGTAGACAGATATCGAAACAGAAACAATAAGTTATCGCCAGTGGCCATACCTAACAAATCGATACATTGTCGTAGAGTGTATCGTGAACGTAAGCAAACGTTACGGAACACAAACTCCTAGCATTGAGTTCACACCGATTCGCGTGTTCGACCCAACCACCCTTTTTCCTAAGGTCCCTCCTAAGGCCACGGTGATCACCGAGGAAGAGCTTGCTCAAATGAAACGACGGGCAATCATCACTTCGCTAGCTGACGAAGAGGCTGCAAGGGTGGGCAGGGAAAATATGCTCGAGGTGAGTGTTTCGTACTACATACCGACATGGCTTGCTTTGTCGTATGTAATCATATTTTTCGGAAAACAGCATTGTAACAGGTGCTCCATTGAGAGCTTAGGATCCATGCGGACACATTCAAAGTGGAAGAACCGATCCGTAGCAGCGTTCCGAGTATCATGGGAGCTTGGAAGATCAATGATAGATACGCAGATCTTCCAGTCAACTGTCTGGCATGAGCGTGCGCACCACTCCTCGCACTGCCCTGCTCACTCTCGTTCTGGAACGTGCCTCCTTGCCCAAAACAACAGAGGAGATAACTAGTGAGCCTTGGATCCTTCTGCCACGTCGTCTACGGAAGAAGCCTTAGTCGTCACATATACAACCATTAGGATCAACATCAGACCAGCTGTGAAATGTCTTCATGTACCAACCGCACACACACATAGTTATCTTTGAGTAACCGGAGCCGAACCAAGTCGCCGTTCTGGCATCAAAGGTTGTTGTCATGCCGATATTGGACTCAAAAAATGTTTCAAGCCCTCCTGGTGTGAAGAATAATCCGAATACAGGTAGGGTCCTACTCCGTTTCGGGGCCGTAGAAAAGACACCCGACCACAGACTTGAGCTGTTGCTGCTCTCCTTTTGTCGTTCTTCGCTTTGGGGGTTATTGGTATCGCCCCATGTCCGTCCGCCACACCCAATGCAACCCGTCACTGAATCAGATCAAACTAAACGCTGCGTAACCCCGGCATATCTATGCCGCCTAACGGCGCAAGTGTTTACACTGACTCACTAACACACGTGCGGGGACGTTGGATGACAGTTGCCGTTGCGTGCCGTGTGCCAGTCACAGTGTTCCTAGTAAAGAAACGCGTGTTCTGAACTTATCGTTTCATTTAAGTCAGGTAGCGCAATGCCGGGCGAGGTACAGAATCTTGACGGTATGCTAATCTTGCATGTTCCTAGGGAACGAAACTTGAACTAACTGCATATCGGCCCTTTCAGGTGTCACAGCAGCTCTTCAGAAAGGCGAGAGGAACCGACTTTGTCTCCTTGCCATCCCGCGTGTGATTCGACTGTACGCTTGTGGCCGCATAACAGGAGAGGCAGCGGGCAGCACGGGCGCGTAAACAACGCATGCTGGAGATGGAGGTGGAAGCAAAGAAAAAAGCCCTAAAGAGCGACATTGAGGTGAAATCTTGTGTGCACGACTGCATGAATAAACCACCTCTAGATCACCACAGCTTCATCTAGTTCTTCTCTGAAGTTAGTCTTCGTAGATCGTGCGCCTACGTGCCAACAACACCCATGTTGGCTAAAACAAAATGGTTCTTTGGCAGTTCAAAAGGTTCCTTTGGGCACGATCTGCATCAGATGTTCGACTGCACCTGCTACACTTGCGGACGAGGGGGTCATATCATGTACTTATAAATAGAAAAATACGTTTGAGTTTTTGAGGCTTCTTGCAAGGTCTAAAGTTTGAGCGCAAAAAAACTGAATAAAACCTCCAAACCATGTTTTACAGGGTTATCAAACAGTCTTAGAACGATTTTTTCCCCGTTCAACCCTCGGGTACCCATCGCTGCGTTCCGAAACGCCACGGTTGTCCAGATTCTTCCCTCAAACTACGTGATATTCATCCCAACATATACGTAATATGCCTAGGTGGAGAGAATGGCGCACGATCAGATGGTGAAGAAGATGGCTACGGAAAAGCTTGACGCCAACAACGACCTGGTCAAGATGCTCAACTCTCTCGGTGCTCGCGCAGCAGCATTCACCATCCGGGACAAGCAGGCAATAGAGTTGACAGGCGTACACATACATATTGTTGGTAAATAGTACTACATGACCTCCGTATTTTACCTGTGTTTCAGTAGAGTAGCTGCCCATGGACGAAAAGCTCTTGTTCAAAGAATGTGGATACGTTTTGACATGGGCTTGGTGTTTGGGAAGACCAATATAGCAGAGGCTGACGAAGCGGATGGGCGAAAAGCTATTTTGTCATCAAAACCCGCCGGAGTAGTTTCCTTCCCTTACCAATACGACGAACGGATAGTTTTACCAAAAACTTCTTAACACATACTTCTGTCTTCTCTGCCCTCAGTACCTACTACCCCTTCATCTTGACGTCACGACTACACACAACACGCTTGCTAAACCGACTGTATGCACAGCTTGCGGAAAAAGATAGGCGGGAGGGCTCAGAGAAGGTCTACGATGAGCGGATGGATATGATCATGGAGGTAAGTGCCCGTGCTATTCGTAAGGGGATACAGTTGCTCCTCCAAACGGCAGGAATCGTCCCGTAGTTTCTTTTAGCGTTCTTGACTCAAGCAATACAAAAAGCTTCGCGAATTGCTCTTACCGGTGTCTCATTTCGACAACACCTCTTCTTCTTCGATATCCCGTCTATCGCACTTGGCTGCAGCTGGATCGTCTCAAGGACCTCACAAAGAGGGATGCCGAAGAGCAGGCCAAGAAGTCCAAGCGAGTTGAGGATCGCAAAGTCATTACCGAACAGATTGAGGCTAGACAGAGGGCCAAGCTTATCCGGCTAGAGGCCAGGGAACAGGTGGGAGTCTTAATGAGTATAATTTGTATGATGTAGAGTTAAAAATAATTGTGTCTCCGAAGATTTCGCACATGAGGTAGGTCGAATACTGAGAGATGAAGCTAGTTCCTTTGGAGGAAAACCCCTAGGGGGCTGCAGGAGCTGTAAGACCAACGCACGTGTTGTCGGGGTGACGGTCGGGAGCTGATGATCAGTACAGGTTTGTCCAATGGTGAGTTGTCTGGCACACAGTAGTCCATCCGCACATGGATACTCGGTGTGGGCTACAGATTGTGGGCGACGTAGATCGTGATCTGTCCCATGTGTGGAAACGTTAACCCAGTGCGGGAGATTTCTTCGTCGGTACCGTGCACCTAGTCGCGAAGACCTTTGTCAAAGAAGTGTCGGCGAAATTGGATGCATGCATCGCCTTCACCGGAAGGGTCTCATTAACTCGATCTCTATTCATTCGTATGGTACCATGACTAGGAACGTCTCAAAGTACCCGGTTTCTTCATTGCCGGAAAGGGGTTGTCGGGGTACGTGCCTCCACATTCCTGTCAAGGGCTATTGGCTGTAGTGACATAGAATACTTGTTCCGGGAACGAGGGATGGCCAGCTATTGCTCCAGTACCTCAAAGTTGAATAAACAGTAGTTGTGCTTGGTCGCCGTCCAAGCTGCTCTGATTTTGAGCACGGGACGATGAACAATGAGGTCCACCGGCGGTCGCAAGCCAGAACCAGAAATTCTTGTGCACGAATCACTAAAAATCTCGCTGGACTTCCTGTGTGTTAACCTGTTCTACCCTTCCCAACTGCGTCGCGCGCTTCTCGTCAGGAAAACCGCGCTATGCTGGGCGTTATCCAACGCTACGCCGACGAAGACAAGGCAACTGCGGAAAAGAAGGCCATAGAGGTATCCATGACAATTCTTCGGTAGCGTCTTAATCATTGCCGCCGAGAAAATACTGCGTCCTGTTCCACATAGAACGACAGCGCTGTCAAGCTGTAGGCCCCCTACCACGGGGCCAAGGACTAACGTATGGTGACATGACACGAATTGTCGAAACTGAATACGCGTCTATGTATCTTTGACCAGGTCCGGCAAGCTCGAGCGGCGGTCATGGCGGCCAATGAAGCGGCGATCGAGATGCGTCGCTCGGCCAGGCAGAGAGAGGTCGAGGAAGTAGAATCCATCCTGGCCTACCAAGCTATGAAGGTAGGAAAACGTTGGGGAGACGAGGCAACTACTGGTTTCCTAGAACACCGCAAGAACACGCAAAACTGCCACGGGACGAGGAGCAGAGTCTTCTGTGACGCAGGGCAATACTTTCTACCTCTGCTAACCTGGCATCGGTTGTCCTTAGTTCATCCACAATCTGTGGGTCTTTGTCTCCAAGCCCCTATATCTTTAACGTTTCTGGTCGTTCCATGCAATGTACGCGCAGGATGAAGAAATGCGACTTCGTGAAGTGGAGGAGGCCGAAAAGAAGCAGATGATGAAGGAAAGGCAGCAGAAACTCCTCGAGGGACAGCTGGTGAGACGAGGAGCGAGAACTGAGAGGCCTCGCGTGCCATAGCGTGACCCGCAATTCCGTTCCGATAACAGCTAAAGATCTCGCCCAAATACATGCTGTGACGCAATCACGTAGCCTGACATTGGCGATACGGTTCGACGAGAGTATGATCATCTATCCTGGACCTCACGACCTTGGTGTCCATCTCACTGAACTGATCCGACAAGGAGCGGTGTTTGCCTGCACCGTAGCGAAAACAGCATTTATCGAACCAACCTCCTCTTACGACATGACGGTAAATATTGTCAAACCCGACTTTAACTTCACGATGCTGCAGAGGGACATGGACAAGCAGGCCGAGCTCGACGAGCTGAGGGCCAGACGCGCCGCGGAAGAAAAGGTGGGGTGCGGCCACATTGTCGCAGAGATAACGCAGTTGCCAGATTGAATAGGCAAAGGTATTGTCGTTCTTCTGTTTCCTCTGCTCTTGTGTTCTCAGTGTTCACCCCTTGCATTTTGTCGACAAGAGAGACTATCGCACAAGTGCTGTCGCAAAGTACTGGTAAACATGGTATTTGGTCGGCACCATTGGATTGGCTTACCTGGAGACTTACAAATCAAAGTATCTGCTCTTGTACAAGGTCATCGGGCGAGTCTGATATTTTGGTGCCTTGAGGACGCCGTTCGGACTGCCCTCTTGCTACTCAAATTCTTTGTTTACAAATACACCAATGTTTTAGAGCGGATATCTTTGGTCGTATAACGCCCCTCATTTTTCGACGAGAGAAGAATGTTCCACAAGAGAAGTCAGCTCCCGAAACATGATCTTCCAGCACCCTGTCGATGAATCCAGTCAGCGTCCTTGATTTGTACAGAGCCTGCCGTTAAGGCGTACCTGGTACTTTGTTTCCATTTGGTTCTTGACGTGTTGACCTGTACACGTGCAAGTATCTGTCGGCGAAAGGGCCTCTCAAAATGAGTGCTGACGAATTCCCAAGTACACGTACACTCTGCAACACCTCACCCCGATCGAGTTTGGCCACGCTTGGTTACGCGGAATGAATATCGTTCCACCCGTATTTTTGGTGATGGGCGTTGGGCAACAGGAGCGTGAGATGAGGCACCGCGAGAGGTTCGCCGCGGAGAAACGCCGGAAGGACGTGACGCAACTTCAGGTGAATTAACTACCACCAACAACCGAAGTACAGCATCAACCTCGAACCTGACCATGCCTGCATTGTAGCCCAGTCAGGATTGACAGTGAATAGAAGACTCGATCAGGCCCATATTGATTGTGCACGAATAATGTAGCCTGCATCTGAGCTTCGTCGCACAGTTGAAACATGGCAAACTTAGTACACATTGGGTTGTAATTCTCCTTCCATGGTCATGGTGCGCAGCTTCTGACGGTTGGTGGCTGCCCTCGAGTAAGAAGAAGAACACCCGTTTGCAGAAAACGAACCTGCTTTTGCTATTTTTTCAGGCGGATCGAAAGCGCCAGGCAGACATGAAGAAAGCTCAGCTAGCCAAAGAGGCGGAACTGGAAGAGGGAGAATACGAGGCAGCAGTCAGGTCAGAGCAAACCAATGTTTATTGCGAGGTTAGTGCTATGAAAATTTCTTATCATTTCGGTTCATTGGACAAGTCTCCATTCACAGGGCAAAATCCTGCCGTAGTCCCGAAGAAGCAACACATCTAGCACCGGCAATAACGGGGGTTTTACAGCTGGGAGGCTCATTCGAGACGGTGCTGGTCCGATGTTTGCACGCTTTCGCTGTCGTCATGAGCACACGCATTCATCCCAATAAGGGATGAAGTGAGCCGTTGCACATGCGCGTGACAGCGCGGGCACGTCCGTTTTGTGTTTTTGAAATCGGTCAACTGTCTCGCGCAGCGGTGTAGTTCGATTCACCGAAACGCATGCGCTCCCTGCACCTTTGCTAACGTTTAATTGTCTTGCGTCTTTCTATCGCATCAGATACAACGCCACTTTGTCAGAGAGAGAACGACGCGAGAGTGAAGCAAAACACGCCGCTTGCATGGAACACCGCAGTGCCATCCTGCTACAGGTCAGAACCGGTATCCGCGACCTGGAAAATAAGGGGAACACGTCACACGCTGTACCCTCTCATCGAAGCGTTTGTCGTCCCCGTCGTAGATGTATCCAGAGTTATGAGACAATGCTTGGAACTGGCAAATACATTCGAAACTACTAAGGGCGAGTAAGATTGTGAAGAAAACATTGCGATCCCCTTCCTAAGGGTACAGTCCCCCCACTTGGTCTGTGTGTGCGTGGGGGGGGATTCAGTTGTTGCATCCCCTATTCTCCAGACCGTTGACTACGCAGAACCCAGTTTGGTAGGGCGACGTTGATTGCTTTTTGTTCGTACAGCAAAAGACGCCCGTATCCGTAAATAAACGTCGATCATAGACTAATACAAGGATACCCTGGACTATCAGAAGTACTCAGGAAAAGAGTCGAACTTTGGAGTAAGATCCTAACCTCGTCACTCGTATCTATTTCAATTTCGTCCTTGCGATACTTATGCTTGCTCATTGCCGGCTTTGGGTGCGAACCTTACAATATCCTACTCTACCTTGTGATGGCCAAGAGTCTTACCCACGGCAACGACTCCGTCGATACCCTCTTGAAAGTGAAGGTACTAATATTATCATTTACAACGGTATCGCGTTGATGATAGAGAGAGGACGAGTAATCTTCTTCCCCGTTTATTTTTCCCTCGAAACAACCATCAGGTACAAGAGGCTGAAGCGAAGAGGAAGGCCGATCGAGCCGCCAAGTTCGAAGAAGGCCGCCGCCTCAAACAGGTAATCAACACTCGCGAGCACTTTGCTAGAATTGCTAGTTGACGGCAGCATTCGAGCACTGACTACCATACTGCTTATGCAGCGAAACTTGTGTGGGCATCCACTTTGCACCGGTGAAACGGTCAAACAGCCAGCGTAGACCGAAAAAGATGTAGACCAAATGCGCTAGAGGGGGTCTGCATGCCTCAATGGGCTTTATACTTGTGCGTGAGGTCTGCCAAAAGTTTGCAAGGTCGGAGTGTTGCTTAATGTACTTCCAGACAAAAACGTTCTTCTCCTGCTGGAAAATGTTCAGCCCGGCGAAGAAGCCTCGAAGCAAGCCCTTTTGGTTGTGCGGAGAATGTCGACACCTTGGGCACAGACTGTAAAGGCTGGTCTTCTCTGTTGTTTGCAACGAGGTTTGCATGGCGAGTGCTTCTGTAAAAAATGTGGGAGCTGCGCCACCGCCACATCTCCAGTATTCAGGAGTGCCTTTCTACGACAGGGTGCTCGGCGTTGTGTTGCAGGTCCTCTACAGGGTCACTGCCAGCTCACACACGCTTCCCCACGTGTTTTTTTTCTTCGTGAACTATGCGATACTGTGGCGTGTCAGGAGTACACGATGGAGCGTGCCAAGCTGGAAGCCATGCGTGACAAGATGGTTGAAGACATGGAGAAGAGAGGAATCAACCCTAAGGTAAGACGCAGCACGTACGGCCAAGCTGTCTCCTTTCGTTGCAATCCCACGACATAAGTCACAAACTCCTCGAATGAGGTGCCCATACGCACAAAACAAAGCGAAATAACGGACGTGCATCCTGCTACGTGAAAACCGATTGTACGTATTTAGCTAGGACGGCGTGCTTTTAATGTGCTGTGTCCCGATTTCTTGAAGCAACTCATGAACACTCTGCTCTTGAAATATCGACGCGTAGAAAATGTTGGTATTCTTCTTCATTGTTATTTGCTTCATTGGACATGGCAACAGCATCTCCTCACTTGTACAAAACCTCCTCTAAACCCCACTTTTCTCGCACTCATCCCCCTGCGATCGTGATTTACTTGACTCCCTATTGTCAGTACCTGACGGAGATGAAAGCTGTGGACATCCACAAAATGCACATGCGTTAGGCTCAGGCAACGTGGGCGCGGTGGTGGTGCGAATGGGGATGCTGCGCTGGAATTACTCTACTTGCCGTTTGCATCACGTGGAAAGCAGTGCCATGCAACGTTTGAGCACAGCAACTGGGAATTGGAAGCCGCTTGGGTAGTACGGAGTTCCGATTGATGATAGATACGCGGTGCTACCTTTACAGTGAAGTTCTCGATGGACGCGGCAGGAGGCGTGCCGTGCCCACTAGGGTGCGCTGATGGGCCTTGTTTCTGTGCTATTGGGTGCGAACGCGAACTTCTTCAGCCAGACTGGAGAGTCAGTTCGTGTTGATCCCAGTCAATCGTTCGCTAACTCCCGAGATAGA